CGCTCGGTGCTTTAAAAGTGAATAAACTTAATTTACACTAAGTTTTATTGTTTATATTTAAATAAAAAATGGGTTTGTGTTCAAAAATCTTTCAAACTAGTTTTAATAAAGTTAATCATAAGTATTCAACAAAGTTTTTAGATAACAACTTTGTTCTTCTCAAATATAACCGCCTATTCAATTAAATACCGCGGACTTTTTTAATTAATTAATTTTAATAAAGTTTAATTAATTTTAATAAAGTTAATCATAAGTATTCAACAAAGTTTTTAGATAACAACTTTGTTCTTCTCAAATATAACCTCCTATTCAATTAAATACCGCGGACCTTATTTGTGGAAAAAATTCCCAGGGGTTGTCAACAAAAACAAGACTACGTTAGAGCATGAATCAAAACGATTATTACAGTTCAGTGAACTTAATTTATCCGACGGATGTTTATTTTAAAGTAAGCTCAATCAAATAAAAACAGATTTTTTTATATCAGTGAAATTTAAGTGATGATGTTAAAAATTTATCTAATGATTATGTTAATTATGAAATTTTATATTAATACTTTTTTATTCAAAAATATTTGTTTAAGTGTTTCTTAAACATTTTAACACTTCTTAATTATTTGCTATTTTGAATTTCTTTATTTTTTTTATTATATTCTATTTTAGTTCTGATTTATGTTTTTACATATATTTGTATGTACGGTTATGTAATTTTTTTTTATATGGGGTACGGCAAAAAGGCAAAATGTGCCTCCTTATTTCTCCAGCCATTAATTTTGGTATAAGTATATGTAATGAAAACATTCTTTAACGGCGAAACAAATTACACAAAGAAAAAATAAAAAATATAAAAAAAAATAGATTCTATTGTCTAGTACCAGATCTGGTACCCGGCAACAGACTCTATAAAATGTATACGGTATGTATAATGTTTGCTAGTAACCTATAACGTATAATATTAACTTGATCAACCTTAGTTGATCAAGTTACTAGAATGTAGTGAAACAATTATTTCAAAATTTAACATGAGCTCATAAGGTCCGGATGATAAGGTCTCTTTAAGACCGGATGTTTAAGTAATGTGTTGAAAATATTTCCTAATTCGGAAAATAAAAAAATCTTAAGTTTCTGAAGTGAATAGAAAAAAAAAATGTTATTATTGTTATGCCGACAATCTATAGATCTTTTCTTTTTAGAAAAATTGAGAGAACAAAGATAAATAAGAATAAATTAAGAAAATATAAAAATAACTTCGAGTCGAAAATATTGACGAATATTAGTGTCATAACTTCCAAAACAGGCTTTGAGATAATTGCGTTATAATGACTGTAACAATTTCAGTAACTTCACAAGGATAGATCTTATTCTCGAATTTTCGAAAAAGTCGAGTAATTAATTGTGTTATGTACACATATTAATGTTTTTCTACTGTATTGAAAACTAAGCTATATGTAAGTTGCGGAGAAAACATAATGAACAAAAATCTTTATATATACCGCCTCCTAAATTTTTTATTTTTTAAATCGTTTTATCTCAAAACTCAAAAATGTGGAGATAAAACAAAACAATTCTAACCTTGCGTATTGTATATGTTATTCAAATTTTTATCATAATAATTTTGTAAAATTAATATACTGTGGTATATAAAACACATCACTCTTTCTTTTCAGTGAATGTGCATCTCTTTTGTGGATGTGCATTTTTTATAAACTATAGTGTCTTTATATTTTTTCTGATACACAGAGCTTGAACGGTAAGGGATGGAAATTATGGCAATATTCCATTGAAAAAAGTGCTGACAAATGCATAAAAAAATTGATCAAAACCTCCAAATAATTATTTAAGAAGTGACAACACTTGTTATCACAGTACGATTTATGATAACTAAAAATTATAATAATAATTTTTCAATATTTTTGCAAGCTCAATACCTATTTTATATTTCATATAACGATCCAAATCTAGTTTTAATTAAATCAACTTCTAAGATTATATGCTTTCGCAACAACTTGTTTGTGGACTGGATGTTTTTAGCTCTGTTTCATCGTGAAAAGTTGTTCTTGTTGAAACATTTGAATTAAAACTTTCACAACTTTTAAGTGTTAAAAAATTTCCATTAACACCCTTGAGTACATGATTTGTAATGTTTTGTCGAAATAGAGAAGCTCTGTTCCTCCTTGGCCGATATATGATAACCCAACACTTATAACCATGCAAAACAGAAAATAAAGCTGTGTTTCCTGCTAAAACGTAGTATACTTCTACTAATAGTAATCCTTTGTTAGTATTTTGAGTAAAACGTATAGGTAAAAATAATGCTGTAACGAAAATTACTGAAAGCATGGCTAGTATAATAACTCTCACTTCGCTAAAGTTACCGGGAAGATTTCTAGCACGAAAAGCTTGCATTAAGCACATCACAATTAAAACCAAACCATATAATAACTGCAATGAAAAGTCGTAGTCATTTCCACATTTAATAGTTAGCAATCCGGTTATTTCATCAGCGGAAGTTAGGACTTTAGCAGGTCGAACCTTAAAAGTTAACACACAAATCATTCCTTGCACGCTTAGCATTAAAAAAATTAACATAGTTTCCATTGTTTTTGACATTTTATATTCTTTGCGAGAAACTCGAATGCGAGCGTGAAAAATAAAAACCAACTTTTGAGTCTTTGTCATGACCATTGCTATAGCAAAGATGAGTAAAACACCGTGAACCGAGGGACGAGCAGCGCATATTATTACTGTTGGTTCTCCAAAGAACATTATTGGAGCTATGTACAATAAGCTATGAGCAACTAATTGAATAAGCAAGATTTTTAAGTTGGCTGATTTTACCAATGGTGTGTTTTGATACCGTACAAAGGTCGTACCAACAAAAATTGTTAACAATGCCCCAAAGATCATAGTACAATAAGCTACGTAGCTCAATGTTTCTTTGTACAAAAGAAAGTCTCTTGTAAATTGTACACACTGAGGAGGCGTCATTTTAACACTGAAATACATTTCATTTTTACATTTTTCACACTGAACTTGTGATATGTTAATTTCAAAATAGCGCTTGTATTCGTAACTCTTGTTAATGCAATTGCAGCTTATGCTGTTGTCTGCTCTAAAAATAACTTCACTGATTATGTGCGTTAACGAAAAGTTTTTACTGTAATAAAGTGAGATGTTTTGAGTCTCACTTGAAAAATTCTGATATAAATCTAAAAAGCTTTGTAAATTCAATTGAGGTTGATACGAATCTTTTAAAACTGTGGGAACAAAATATTTAATATGCTCCATTGCCATGTTAACGTCTGTAATGTTAAAGCTATATTTTAGGTTTTTTTTAATAAAAGCGTATATCCAATTTGTGTTATTATTCAATAAATTTATTACAAATGGTGTGTTTTCATTTTTGATGGTTGATGTATTTATTTTTATTTCTGTTTCTGAAAGAAAAATCTTGTCTGAAAATGACATATTTTTTAGCAAGAATACGTCTAGCGTTGTGTCAGATCCAAAAATCACTGTTAACTTTATATTATCTGTTTGAGATAGCGCATACAAAACCTTCTCAAATAAATTAAGGTTGTTGTTTTCGTACGTAAACACTGTCAAGCAAGAGCGATTTCTAAAAATTCTTTCCCATAATATTTTACCAATATCAGATGAGAAAGGATTCAACAATGCTATTTGATCCCATTTAAATTGTCGCAAAACTTTCTCAAACAAAACTACTTTATTTAAATTTTCAATAGTATGGTTATAAAAACTAGGTGTATAATCAGACAAGTGATAAAAAGGTACATCGTGTTCATGAACCTTGAACTTAATACTCGTCACGTCAAAGTGTGTTCCAAAATAAAAAACCGAAACAATCTTTGAACGGTTTTTACAAGAATTCAATGAATCTTTTTTTGTAAAACATAAACTAGAATTAAACAACTGTTCCAAGTAAATATTTGTTATGTTACTGTTTCCACAAGATTCGTAGAAATTATACCCAATTGTAAATGGTTTATAATTCCAAGTCTTATAAATATCAATAAAAAACATAAACCAGCTGATGTACAGTTCAGTTAAACTATGCTCAAAAAAATTGAACACAACTACTACATTATTTTCTCCTAGTTGTCTCCTAATTACCCCTGGTATGCATTTATCCTTTGAGTTATCATCAGCATATCCATAAACCTGAAAAAATATAGAGCCACATACGACGCACCAAATAACAACAATTTTTTGTAAAATTTTCGTTTTCATAATTTATTTTGAAGTTTTTTTTATCCATATTAAAGCAAATTTTTGTTTATTTCGAATATTTATTTATCTCTTGGTTGCCTTGGTTGCAAAAAATTTTGCAATAAGTTTTGTAAAATACATTGTTCTTCGATTAAAAGATGTTTGTAATGATAAATGTCCATGGATGAACATGTATCGTTGAATATAAATATTTGCATTTGCACTTAATATAGAATGTGCCCGTGAATTCTATAATATATATTTAAATACTATTTTTTAAAAACAGAAAAAAAAAAGAAAAAAAGCGCACACCACGCAAAAATTAACATAAGGTTAATCAACAATTAGTCAAAAAGAACTTGTTAAAATTTTTTTTAAAAGAATTTGAATAAACATGAGTATTAAGAATTATTATCATAATCATAATTATTATGATTAAAGTATTCATGATTTAAATTTTCTTCACATAAATTTGATTATTTTTTATGAAGAGACTTTTTTTTAAATTCTTTTACCGTGGAAAGAACGAACCACTACTACTACCATCACCATCACTACCATTACTACTACCATCACCATCACCACCATTACTAACGTTTATAGCTCAGCTTGAGATTTGACTTTAAAAAAAAAATTGAAACAAAGAAAAAAATTGAAACAAAGAAACCCAAACGATATACCCTTAAACTGTTTAGTTTAATAATAATATTAACACTTATAAGAAAAATGTAAAGAAGATTTTTTTGCCTAAGTTTTCATTAAACATTTTGATGAGCCATTTACAATTTAAAATTATTAGCAGTAAGAATACATATAAAAACTTTGATTTAAAATATGAAACATATCCATTAAAAACAAAAAGCGTAAATGAAAAGAAAGAAAAAAAAGCATTGAAATCAATCAAAACAAAAACAAAGAAATAAATTTAACGAAAGAATTATAAACGATTGATGAAAAATAACTCAAAAAAAAAAAAAAAAAATTATAACAACGTCTGCTCTATGGACACTGCGGCAAGTTCTTTCATAAATTCTTCTAATACGATCACGCAATAGACAGCCTTTTTTATAACCAATAAATTCTGAACATGCGAATCTAATTTGTCTACAGTGGTTTGATTTTTAAAATCTTTTTTATTGGAACTACGTAATCCTAATTTCGGGATTACTGGATGCAGCTTACTGTGTCTGGTGTTTAAAGATACGCGTTTTTCATTTTTATTATCATGTTGTTCCTTATGAAACAATGACCACGGTGATCGACATAAGATGTCATCTACACTTAAAGTATTTGACAAAATAGGTGATTTCTGTTCATAAATTGCCTGGGTATCTTCGTTTGATTGAAGAGTACAGTTAACTGTGAGTTCTGTATTATTTAAGTCCTTAAATAAACTAGGATCTTCAGTAAAATATTTAGATTGATCTGGTTGCATTAAATGTTGTCGAGCTTTTCTAATTAATTGCCGATAATCGTGAAATTGTGACACAAACGCATCACTTGTTGTTGAAACACGAGCAAGCACCTGTTAAAATAAGAACTAAGTTAACTTTTTTTAAATAAAATTATACCATACAGAAGACAGTTTGCAAAATTTAATAGAAATCATTTAATCAACACAAGTTTTTAAAACTCCATTTAAAAAAAAAAAAAAAGTTAAAAAAAAAAAATACAATTTTTTTTAACTATAACACGGTTTTAACACGGTTTAAATTTGAGGGAGCCAGGAGCCAGTTAAGAACTCTGCTCATTTTTTGAAGTTTTAAGTTTAAGTAAATTCTCTATATGGCTAGGTTTTAAAAGCTTTTTACAAAACTGTAAAATTTTCTAAAAATGAGAAGATTTTTAAATTTACTTAATCATATCAAACTTTGATTTTAAGATATAACCAACCACTCCTTTTCTTTGCTTAAACTTCATGGGATTATTTTTGCGTTTGTGCTCCAATTATTCTGATTTTTATACAAAGCATTCTCAGTTGATATCAATGTTAACGTACAAAACATTTGTTGGCATCAATCTTAACCTACTAAAGGTATAATTTATCAAATGTCCATAAAAACCTTCCCTGCCATTGACACACAAAAATCTCTAAATAAACTCAGAAAAAATAACACGTTTAAATATATTAACTAAGATACAAAAATACCAAATCACTGTTTTAATACATGACACAACAGCACAAAAGGCACACGAAACCAAGCTTGTATACAAATTTTTACAATAAATACACAGATGCCTGAAAGTGGCTTTCTTCCTTTGTTAACTTAAATTCACTACAAAATAAGAATATTTTCAAACTGTAAATAGCTTTTCCCATCCACGACGATCGAGAGAGGTAAAAAAAATTTTAAAAAAGTAATTGCATATAAAACCGTCATCTTTAAACTTTTTTTAAAAATGTGCTCTTTCATAAAACCAAATTTTTTTAATAGTTTTGTAAGTACTGGTATTGATGGAAGACAGATCTTGTAAGTATTTCACCTCGATCTTTAATAAAATATAATATTATGATCTTTAATAATAGATAATATATATAATAACTATTTATTATATATATTATCTATTACATATATTATATATATATATATACACATTAATATATATACATATATATATATATAATATATATATATATATATATATATATATATATATATATATATATATATATATATATATATATATACACATTAATATATATACATTAATATATATACATATATACATATATATATATATATATATATATATATATATATATATATATATATATATATATATATATATATATATATATATATATATATATATATATATATACATATATATATATATATATATATATATATATATATATATATACATATATATACATATATAAATATATACATATACATATATATATATATATATATACATATATATATATATATATATATATATATATATATATATATATATATATATATATACATATATAATATATATATATATATATATATATATATATATATATGTATATATATATATAACTTAATACAAAATTAATTCAATATAAATTTTAAATGTACAACCACAATGATAAACCTTGTATGCAGATACAAAAGTGCAAAAATATTGTTACAATCCACTTTTGTTAGATAAGAAGTTATATAAAGATTTAAAAAAATTATCAATAACTTGAATCTCTAAACAAAGAATATAAAATTACTGACCTCTTAACTTTTAAACTCTAAAAAAGTTTTTAAAAAAAATACTGTTTTAAGTTTGTCTATTATGATAATGGCTTCGATGTACCCAACTGAGCCAAAATATTGCAATTTTTAAATAAACCTTTATATTCCAATTAAATGGTGTTTTAGAAGTTAAAGAAAAAAAAACCATACTTATTATTTATCTTGGAAATATATATTGAAAAGACTTTTATGACTTGATCTAGTCAGCAAATTTACTGACTCTTAATCAATCTGAACAAGCATCTGAAACAGTTTAGGGATTGTCCATAAATTACGTAACGCAAAGTTTCACAATAAACAAAACATAAAACTTCAAAATTTTACCCTTGCAGAGTCTTAATTTAAGCAAAAAAATTAAATTACCCCATTAAGTTTATTGAATATCGCCGCGTAAATGAGCTTAATATAACCTACTTCTGCTTTTTAAATATGTATTGCGTTGCGTAATTTATGGACGATTTATTATTGTAAAACATCATGGCACAGTTGGCAAGGTGGTGGAAAACAAAAATAAAAAAACTTAATTAAATTAAGACCTTATAATAATATATAGACCTGGTATTTTGTTAATAAAAATCTTTTAAAATTTATGTATAGCAAGTATAGCTTTATAATAAAAATTTCAAGGATTAATAATAGTTCTTTATATGATAATAGAAGTTTCAAAAATCCCTTTTGGATTTTTGAAACTTCTGGACTTTATTTCTATTCTAACCTATGAACAAAGTTCCAAAATTTCCTTTTGGAGCTTTATTTTTATTATCATAGTTGCTAATATTAAAAATGGTGACATGCATCAAATGATTTTCTAATAATATACGTTTTAATCTCTTCTTGTATTTGTAGATATTAAATTAAAATGATTCTGCAACTTTATCTCAAAAATTTTGAGATGAAATTACAGTTATAAACTTTTGAGAGTGTATCATGAGAAGTGGATGGAAATAATGATTAATTATCATTTAATGCTGTTATCACTACATCATCATTTAATGCTGTTATCACTACATCATCATTTAATGCTGTTATCACTACATCATCATTTAATGCTGTTATCACTAAATCATTACTTAATGCTGTTATCACTACATCATCATTTAATGCTATTGAAAGATTATTTTAAAAAAATTATTTAGTCTTGAAAAAATTTTACAAAAAAAAAAAAGATGCAAAGTAATTAGTTTAACAATAAAGCTAACAAAAAATTAATGAAAATCTAGATTAAAAAACCATTAAAAAAATTATGAAATATAATTTTATTCAAAAGCTAACTTTATTTAAAAAATACAACTTTTTCATTTTGGGGATACTGCAACATTTTTAACTTTTTATCACCTGATGACTTGTTGCTAAAATTTTAAATTAAATAAAATTTTTAATTTTAATAAAGAAACAAATTTTAAAAATCTTTATTTTTGCATATATTATTGCACAACTTTGTTTTTAAAGTTTCACCATATTAGTTTTATTACGTGTAATAATTAGCCTCCATAATGGAATAAATTTAAGTTAGCGCATGACTTTATTTTTAGTCTATTTCAAAATACTTAATATTGAATTGAATCCATGTTCATCATTTTGGTGTTCTTTATCCCTTTCTAACACCACAGATATTTCTGACACCACAGATATTTGCAAATTTTTCTTGTACATTAACACATTGAGTTTCACTCAGGTTGCCTTTTTTATTAATTTTTGATTTGTTCATTTTGATGTGTAAGTTCTAATGTCAGATTTTTTCAAGTCAAATTTGTTAACATTTTGTATTTTTCAAATCGTTAATATGCAATACATTTGACTGTTATCAATACAGTGAAATGTGTACAGTTTACATACAATTTTTTTTTTATCATTTTAGACCTAATAAAGACTGAAGGTACTTGAATTGAATTTTTTAATTTGTTTAAAGCAAATTAAATTTATGCAAACTGCGAACACAAACATTATGCTGAAATGTTGTCACAGATTTCACCATTGATCTGCAATTGCATACTTGTATTAGTTGCGCCAACTTACAACTAAAATTTCAATGTGTGGATGCTTTTTTTTCTTTCTTTTCTTCAATAACTCTAAAGATTCTTTCATAGCATATTATAAATAAGGGATTAGAAGATTCTTTGTTTTTCCAACAGACAATAGAATGCAAGAAAAATCTTGTTAGGTAATATTTGAGAAACATCACTTTGGAAAAGTCCTTGGAACTTTGAATATACTGAAAATGGACACATATCTCCATTATACTTATAACTATTTTAAAAAATATAAAGAACTTCTTTTCAGTTTAAAAGAAAACCTTTTTAAACTCAAAAGAAGTTTAAACTCATGCAAACTTTTTTCTAAAACCTTTTTTCTTTTTTGATTGTTTATAAAAAAAATGAGCCTTTTGAAATTGATTTACATGTTTTCTTTTCAGAACTCAACATTAAATTTTTTTTTTTTTTAAAGTTTTGATGTTGGAGAACAAGCTACTTTTGTTAGAGAGATAGCCTTTTTTTTTTTCTCAATATCTCTTTGATCTTTCGCTGGACATTTACTTTTTTTTCATTCAGGACTTGGAAAAACATATAATCTTAAAAGAGAAAAAAAGTTAAAGTGAGTATCTTCCTTTAAATCTTTTAAGCATGAAAAAAATTTAAACCGCTATATGTTGAAGGCAAAGATTTGATGGCAAAATGTGTTGCAAAAATCACAGCAATTAAAGCACAAAAATACATGCTGTAGTTGTTTTTTTCAGAAAAAATTTTTTAAATCTTTATTTAGACACTTCATCAAAATCTAGTAAAAGGGTTTAAAAATATATGATTAAATAAATTTTAGAATTCCCTCATGCAGTTTTTTAAAACATTTCTATTCAACCCTTGGAATTAGGAGAAATGAGGTCGGCAATAAATTGCCGACCTCATACTGTTAGAGGTCAGAAAAAAAAATTCAATACAAAGGGGTTACCATAAAACATAGAAACGAGGTCAGCAATTTTTTACCTACCTTAAACACTTAAAAGTCGCCAGTTAGTTTGGCATTGGCAAATGCCGACCCTAATTATGTTTTTTATGTATGTTTGTGTTCTGTCTGAACCTCTGGCGCGGTGTTGACTCACCCGTAAGTTGATTTATGTTTGTTTGTGTTCTGTTTATACTCTAATGCAGCGTGAGCTCAGTAACTAACTACTTACTCCAACTACAAAACGTACACTCACCTTAGACTCCATGCCTGGTTTTCTCAAAGTACTGTTGCGGGAAGTACCTCCTTTTAACTAATCCAGGTCAGGTCAGGATAATCGAGATCA